TTCGCAGACGAAGGATAGAAAAACTGGGCGTAAGTTTTTGCCTCTGCAGCGACGTCGTTTGTATGAGGGCGACGTGGCTCAATATAAATAGGAGGGACACGTGTCAAATAAAGAAGGTAGGGCTTCTTTTTTATAGATAAGAGAAAGAGATAAGAGAGATTAGATGGGTTTACGCCGTGCACGCATGTTTGATAAATAAAGAAATCAATACTTTAAGACATATGAAAGGCATCTGTAATTGAAAGCTCAAAATGGATCAGACATTAACATCATGAAATGATAGAACACTTTTGTGGTTCAAAAACCTAAACCCTACAAATGAGGTAAGAATATATATATATATAAATCCTACGGTCTCTATATCATCTCAGCCTTTAGCTTCTTGATCATGCTTTCTTCTCTTTCCCTTAGCTTCTCCATTGGGACACGTCATTGACTCTTGTTGACTTTCAATGTTCATGCATGTCTCTTTTAGCTGAGGTGGCAGCTCTCCTTTGTCTGCATGCATGTTGTTTGTGTAACATGTAAGGTCCTTCATTCCACATATGCTATCATCCCCCCTCAAGCCAAAGGAGGTGAAAGGGACCAATTGCAGAAGGTTCCTAAACCTGATGAAGGCTTGTTGTGATAATGGTTTTGTGAAAACATCACCAACCTGATGAAGAGATGGGACATGAAGAACCTTTAGGGTTCCCTTAGCAACTTGTTCTCTCACAAAATGCAGATCTATTTCTATATGCTTTGTACGGGCATGAAGCACTGGATTAGAAGAAAGTGATATAGTACTAAGGTTGTCAACCCAGAGAATGGGAGTATGAGAAGAAGGAGTGATGAGTTCCTTTAGCAGAGAGGATATCCATGTTATTTCAGCAGAGGCTTGAGCTAAACTCATGTACTCAGCCTCTGTACTTGAACGGGAGATTGAGTTTTGCTTCTTTGAGCACCAAGAGACTGGATTTTTACCTAGGTATATGCAAATACCAGTTGTGGACCGTCGATCATCAAGATCATTTGCCCAATCCGAGTCAGAAAATCTAGTGAGGTGAGTGCTTGAGTTCTTGGTGTACTGTAAGCCATAGGAAATGGTTCCAGCTAGATACCTTAGTATCCTTTTAACAGCTTTCCAGTGAGTATCCTTTGGACATTGCATGTATTGACAGACCTTGTTGACACTATAAGAAATGTCTGGTCTTGTAATGCAGGCATATTGAAGTGATCCAACAACACTTCTATAGAGAGTGGGATTATCCATGGGGGTTCCTTGATGTTTAGGCAGAGAAGAGGTAGATATCATTGGTGTAGGCAGGGGTTTGGCATCAATCATGTTTGTCTTAGCAAGGATATCTCTGATATACTTGGATTCGCCAGGAGAGAGTCCGGCATAGGTGTGTTTGACCTCAATGCCAAGGAATTGATGAACCTGACCAAGGTCCTTTAAAGAAAACTGTTGTTGGAGAGTACCAATGACTGTAGCGATAGCAGCTATGTTGGAGCCTGTGATAAGTATATCATCTACATAAACAAGGAGCCATATGCAGGAGGAGTTGGTCTTTTTAATGTATAAGGAGCAATCAGATGCGGAGTTATGAAATCCAAGGGACAGAAGAGAGTGCTTGAGTTTATTAAACCATGCCCTAGGAGCCTGTTTCAGGCCATAGATAGACTTGTGTAGTTTGCACACAAGATGAGGATTTTGAGGATCTTCAAAGCCTGATGGTTGGGCCATATACAGTTCTTCTGTGATTTCCCCATTTAGAAAAGCATTGTTGAAATCAAGATGTTTAATGCACCAGCCATAAGTAAGGGCCAAGGAGAGTACAACTCTTATAGTTGTTGGTTTTACAACTGGGCTAAATGTCTCATAGAAGTCTATGCCTGCAGTTTCACTGAAGCCTTTGGCAACTAGCCTGGCTTTATGTCTGGCCACCCTACCATCTGCATGCCTTTTTAGCTTGAATAGCCACTTGCAGCCAATGATTGATCTGTTTGGTGCTGGACTGACAAGGGACCAGGTGTTGTTCTGCAGGAGAGCCTGGTATTCTGACATCATAGCTGCTTTCCATGCAGGTTGAGTAAATGCTTCCTTGTAGGAGGATGGTTCCTCCTGAGTGAGTTGAGCTGAAATGATCCTCGGTTTAAGAGAACCTGTCTTTGACCTGGTTATCATATGGTGTTTAGCAGCATTATTATTAGTTGGAACAGTAGACTCAGATGTATTTTCCCTCACAATTGGCAAATCAACATACAAAGGAACAGTGGAGTGAGAAGAGTTGTTTGACTGAGTAGAAGAGGAAGCACTGGAGGGTGATGAGTGTTGAGAATTATTTTGAACAGGAGTGGGAGATATAGTTGAGGAGGAGTGAGGTGGTGTGGAGATGTGAGGGTTTGAAGAGGGGTTTGCAGAGGTAGGACTATACACTATGGATGGGGGTTGGTTTAGAAAGGATTGTAGCTGATCAAGGTTAGAATGTGTGGGAGTTGGCTTGGAAAAAGGGAACAGAGATTCATCAAAGATGACATCTCTTGTAACAATAACCTTGCCAGAGGGTAGAAGTATTTTATAACCTTTATGTTGAGAGCTGAAGCCAATGAAGGTTGAGGGTAAGGATCTTGGCTGCAATTTGTGTTTGTTGTATGGCCTGAGATTGGGATAGCATAGGCAACCAAACACTTTGAGGGTAGAGTAGTTTGGTTTATGGCCATATAGAGTTTCTAGAGGAGATGTGAAGTGAAGGGATTTAATAGGTAATCTGTTGAGGACATAAATGGCTGCACTGAATGCATCATCCCAATACTTGAAGGGAACATGGGAGTGATATAAGAGAGCAAGTCCCATTTCTACAATAGTCCTATGTCTCCTTTCTGCAACCCCATTTTGTGCAGGAGTATATGGGCAAAAGAGTTTGTGGTTGATACTTGATTCTGAGAACACTGAAGTGAGTGACCTGAATTCCCGTCCCCAGTCACTTTGTATGGCTTTTATCTTATGATTAAGTTGGTTCTCAGCAAGGTTTTTGAAATGAAGGAATGCACTTCTAACTTCTGACTTGAGTTTGAGAAAATATATCCATGTAAATTTGGTAAAATGATCAACAAAGCACACATAGTATTGAAAACCATTTTTGGACTTTATAGGTGAAGGCCCCCAAACATCAGTGTGAACAAGTTCAAGAGGACAAGTATAAATAGTATCAGATGAAGCATAGGGTAAGGAGTGAGCCTTAGCTTGTTGGCAGGAGCCACAAATAAACTTGTCATTAGCAGAAACTGAAATATTACAAGTTCTCATAACCTTAGAAACTACATCAAGAGCAGCATGTCCTAGTCTAGAGTGCCATAAGGCCAAATCATTGTTCTTATTTAAACTAGCAACATGAGCTGAAAATAAAGGATAGTTGGTTGACTGCTGTGGCACTTGTGAGAAGTTGTTGGAACAATTGATATCAAAGTTGTATAGTCCCCCCTTAAGTGAACCTTGGAGAAGAACTTGGTGTGTGGCTTGATCCTTAACAAAACAAAGAGTGGGATAGAATTCAAAATATACTGAGTTATCATGAGCAAATTGAGAGACACTGAGAAGGTTCTTTGTTATGTTAGGAACATGTAGAAGATTTCTGAGGAGAAATGATTTGGAGGGATCAGAGGGATTTTTAAATGTTGAATTGCCAATATGAGAAATAGATAAACATGAGCCATTTCCAACATGGAGCCTGTTGTTGCCTTGATACTCTGTGGCAAGGTTGAGGTTTGATAGTTCATTGGTGACATGATTAGTGGCACCTGAGTCTTCAAACCAGAAGGAGTCTGGATTTGAATCAGGTGAGATCACCATTGCATTTTGAGGAGTTGACTGAGAGGGTGTGTTAAGACCTGTGGCTTGGGTTTGGGCTGTCTGAGCTTGCATTGTAGTAGGTGGTGGGTAAGTAGAGTCATATCTGTGGTAGCACCTTTCTGCAGTGTGGTTGTTAAGGTTACATAGTTGACAAGATGGTCTGTTGTTGGTGTTTTTATAGCCTCTACCCTATCTTCCTCTGTAGTTGTTGTTTCTACCTCGACCTCTTTGGGAAGGAAAGTAGCCTCTTGTGTTGGAGAAGTTGTGAAACTGAGATGGTGTTTTCTGGGTGGAGGAGTTTGGAGAGATCACATTGACACTGGGTATTGAGCCATCTGGATTAACAATGGAGGCTGAGGTGACATCAAGCCTAGATTCAAGGCTGAGTAGCACGGCATAGAGTTCATTCAAGGTATAGGGCTCCACTCTAGAGGTGACTGCAACCACTGCTGGGTTATATTCACTACCAAGCCCAGCAAGAATGTATAAGATTTGATTTTGCTCAGTAACAGGTTCACCAGCAACTCCTAGTGCATCACAGCATGCCTTCACTTTGCCTAGAAATTCTCTCATTGAGCTAGATCCTTTCTTCAGTGTTTGTAGCTGAAGTTTGTGATGCATGAGCCGAGCTTTGGACAGACCAGAGAAGTTGGACTCCAGAGATTGCCACACATCTCTAGATGTGTTTTTGCCAACCATCATTATGAGGAGATTCTCACTTAGTGAAGATAATAGCCATGACATAAGGAGCTGATCTTGTCTCAGCCATGTTGCATAAGCAGGGTTAAGGGTGGGTTGGGAGGTGTTTTCAGATGAAATGAATCTCTGAGGTGGCATACTATCTGCAACAATGAAGTTTTCCAGTCCATAGCCAACAATGGCACTGTAAGTTTGTTATTTCCATAATAAATAGTTGGCATCTGTAAGCTTAATGGATATAAGCTGATGCTGAGGATGAATGAATGATGTGTTGTTGTTTGCTATGGGGCTACTGGTGCCATCAGAGGATATTTGAGAGGCCATTGCTGAAGAAGAATGATGGATCTGAGAAAAGGAAATGGATCTGAGATTTAAAATTGCATATCAGGTTTGATAAGGTCAAGATCTGAGTTTAATGTGTTGAAAGAGACTTGAGGGACGAGATTCAATGATCATGGCTCTTGATACCATGTTTGATAAATAAAGAAATCAATACTTTAAGACATATGAAAGGCATCTGTAATTGAAAGCTCAAAATGGATCAAACATTAACATTATGAAATGATAGAACACTTTTGTGGTTCAAAAACCTAAACCCTACAAATGAGGTAAGAATATATATATATATATATATATAGCAGAATATTTTTAATCCTACGGTCTTTATATCATCTCAGCCTTTAGCTTCTTGATCATGCTTTCTTCTCTTTCCCTTAGCTTCTCCATTGGGACACGTCATTGACTCTTGTTGACTTTCAATGTTCATGCATGTCTCTTTTAGCTGAGGTGGCGGCTCTCATTTGTCTGCATGCATGTTGTTTGTGTAACATGTAAGGTCCTTCATTCCACATATGCTATCCGCACGGCGGTCTAACACCCTGTGTAAAATATCCATACGCACCCTTAATTAATATTGATAATATGTCTTTTAAGGTTGCATAGTGTTACAACTGTTTTGTTGTTGAAATAACCTATGTTGATGCGCAAATGTGACAACTGTGGTTACTTGTGGAATAGATGGCTAATAGAACATTATTCACTATTGACAATTGTCCCCAAAAAATAGCATAGAATTGCTTAAAAGGGAAACAAACAACAGATTCAGATATCCAAACAATCAAACCGCAATCGAAAATCTTGAAATAACTCAAACCCTCTGAAATTCTTTGTTTGAAAACTATGTGTAAGTCAAGCTATGAGAATTATAGTCTCCATGTGTTCTCGAAAACATCACTAAAAATGGGATAAATTTTGTATTTCTCAATTTTGAAAGTGATGGGTTCATGTGATGGGCTCTGATATGAAATGTCCATGGATCTTTACCATCAGTAATTTCTTATATCACCAAATCAAGACAATCATATGATTAGCAAATTATATGATTAGAAAAGTTTTCAGACAAAAAAGTAATCACTCATGAGAACGTGAATAACACAAAAAGAAGTAAATACAAAAACTCCTAAAGCAATCACGACTCAACCATTTACTGAAGAACATTCGGTGTTGAGGGTGCTGAGAATATATTGATAGGTTGGAACAACGATGGAGGAACACCGACTTCACTAATCTTGTCGGGTGATAACACCAACGACGTGGTCCTAGGCATCACCGATAACCGCCCGATCCAGGACATCTTCCTCAAGTTGGGGTCTCGTGAGTTAACCAAACACATAAGAACTGTAGTTTTGTCTCCCGAAGCCCGAAGCTTCATGATCTGAATTAATTGAACCTTAACATTAGCATACATGAGCAGTTGAGCCAAACATTGATATGATCAAGTAGTAATGAATAACCAAAAAATATTGAAATGAAGAGCTGGCCTAAGATGGTCTGCTCTGATTCACATATTGCTCCCGACTCTCTTGCAATTTATTGGATAAAGAATCCCTAAAAAATGCAATTTTCATCTATTTCTTGTTCTTTTATCATCTCAGACATGCTCGTCTACCCTTTTCATGGATTTAGAATCATCCAAATGGAGAAGAGTGAGCAAAAGATTACACACCAAGTACATAACATAATAATGATAGATCCAATATTCACAATAAAGAAAATAGAACTCATCAATTTTAATAATTCAAACAAAAAAATGTTTGCCTTAATTATCTAGCATAGTATATATGACTGCATCATAGCAAAAATCCATGTGTCGAATTCAAAAGAAACAAAAGAATTTTAAGATTTAAGGAGGAAAGAAATATTAGAATAATTAGAAAAAATAAAACAAAAAAAAGCAGAGGTTGACGGAGTTTAAGATGTGAGCTGGCAGTATCGAAGGATTCCATTAGAACCTGTAAAAATGAGAAAAATCTGCATTTAAGTAGCAAAGATAACATCAAATTTGCATAAATGTTTCAAACAGTATGTTATTTGTACCCCAATTCTCTTGTGACCCAAAGTTCAAAAGATTGAAAAAAAAAATTGAAGTCTTAGTGTTTTTAGATCAACTATCACTAACAACATTGAAGCCCATACTTCAATCGAAATTATCAAATCATCCTCCTACACTTGTTCGAATGGGGGTTCAAATTAGTTCTCCTCTCTATTGTGTTGTTAGGTGGATTAAAACAAACACAACATAAATACACACAAATCGGCAAATTGAAGTTTGGATAATTTGCCTAAGAGCAATTATTCAGACCACCTCGAATTATCATACCCAGAAGGATGTAGTACCAACAACTATTCAGACTACATCTAATTACTTTAGACTACCTAGATTAGCTCTGTTTTTTTATTCAATGTCTTCCACAAATCCTAGAAGGATATTCTACCAACCCAAATAAACAATTTATTTCTCTACACTTTTTTTTTTCATTAATCATAATAATTAAGGGAATTTCAACACATACCAATGAGAAAGTGTACAAATCGATCGAGATACATTATATAACTGAAAATTGACAAACCTGATAGATAAAGTAGTGAGGCTGCAACATAGACATAGACGCCACGTTAACGCTTCCCATCTACAGGAAACCTAAATTCCAAGCGCACATCAAACTCCGAATTAATTATCCAGATAGAAAGACCTAATTCAAAAATAGATAAACTGTCAATATAAAAATTGCAATTATTACGAAACAAATATGCACAAATTAATCAAAC